ACGTGTTTGGCCACATTTGGGCGGCCGACGGTCTTTTGGCACGCACACCACCACCGGGTCACAAAGAAACCATGTTTCTGGGGTTGAAACACTCTGATCAAAGACCACGTCAAACACACTGCATCTACCGTGGCAAACCAACAGAATCATGTCTCCGATATTTGCTTCGACACCAAGGCACCAATCTGGCATGCCGACATGATGGTTTTCTATCGCTGTCTCCCCTTTCCCCCTGAATCCTGCGGCTGGTGAGAGAGACATCCCGCACTCACAGGCGGACTTCTCCACGGATGCCCGCCGACCTATTTTCACAACCCCAACAGCCCAAGAAAAGAAAAAGCCCACCGCGCCGCGCTAGCGCCGCAAGCCTCACGTCTGCTTAGCTCCATGCCCCAACGTCCGGCTCGGCGGGAGCACGGCCGGGGCACGGCCGGCCCGGTGCCAGTTTAGCCTCCTTGCCTGCGTCTCCTGCAACTCGCGGGCACTGGCCTCCCCTTCCCATCTCTCCTCACCCCCCACCACCACCACCGTGAACCAGCGAACACCGCGAATCTCAAACCGTCAGCGGCGTAACGGTGCGCGTCGTTCTTGTCTTGTCTGCATTAGGGGGATGGTCCGGCGTGGATGTGAAGGGTGATGGTCAGGGGAGACAGACGTGCCGGAGGAGCAAAAGGCACCGTAGCCTCTTAAGTCGTCTGAAGATACCACGAGACACGAACGCCCGGCCTGAGCGAAGGCATGGAGAGACATCTATAAGAACCTTCCCGGGGCGGTGTTTGGTCATCGTGCATCTCCAGCTTCACTCTCCACCACTTTCCCACAACAAACATACACACACACTCACTCACTCAACTCTCCCTCGCTCTCTTCATCTTCCTCCTCCGAACCAACTACCCAACACCGCAAAAATGCCCTCCACCGTCGTCTCCACCCCCGTCCCCGCCGGCGTCGACCGCAACCAGGTCCTCGCCGCCATGCACAACCACGACCTGATGGTCAAGACTCTCTGCCCGGCCCTCGTCTCCTACAAGCTCGAGTCCGGCTCCGTCGGCCTCGGCCAGTCCGCCACTTACTCCGTCACCGACAAGAAGCCCATCGGCCAGACCACCTACCAGCTGACCATCAGCAACCTCGAGGACGGCGTCGACACCCTCGTCAACGCCAAGCCCCCCGTCGGCACCCTCGTCATCCAGGGCAAGTGGCGCGTCGTCAACGAGGGCGCCAACCTCATCCTCCGCGAGGAGGTCGACATCGAGGCCAACATGCTCATGAAGAAGATGGCCAAGGGCAACGTCGAGAAGACCCACCCCGAGCAGCACGCCGCCCTCCTCGTCCAGGCCGGCAAGGCATAAGAGACCTGCCTGTGTAAGAGGGCAAGGTAGTTGCATGCGGATATACCCTTCAAACTTGTATAGTTGAGAGAACTTCCGCCTTATCCATTGAAGCGAAAATGGTTGCGAATTCGGCGTTCTAATATGGGGGATTTTTGGGGGAATCTTGTCACATAGATAAGACTAGACGTTTAATGGAAATATGAAACGAAGGCTCACAGCGACTGATGATGGCCTTGGGGTTTATGTGCGTTCGCTGGTTCTTCTGAACTCGAAATCATAATTGCCGGTGAGATTGACTGGGACATTATGGACAACATCATGTCCAATGTGTCTAGAACCAGGACGCCTGAGCGGATGCGACATTGACCATGCACACAGCAGCACATTCGCCGATTTCACAACCACTCCCATGATTCTCATTTGCTATCATCATCCTATACCGACCCAGCCTTCGCAGCCCCCTCCGGATCATGCGCCACAACCTCAATCTCAACCCTCATATCATCCTCCCCAAGCCTCGGCACACCCACACACGTCCAGATGGGCTTATGGTTCGGCATCCACTTGTTGAAGTTCCTCACCATCGCCGCCAGCGCCTCGTCGTTGATGGGCACGTGGTACGAGTTGACGCGGTACACCTGCTCCCACCCCTTGCCGCCGGCGTCTTTCAGGTTCAGCTCGACGTTCTCGAACGCCCGGTCGATCTGCGCGTTGATCTCCTTGAAGAACTCACCCGTCTTGGGGTCCCAGCCGCCTGTTGCGTCGTTGTGTTGTCAGTCAACGTTACTTGAGAGAAAGGTGACATGAAGGGAGGGACGAAGGGGATGGGTGGATGACGTCGTACCCTGGCCTGCGCACTCAATCCTGTCGCCCACTCTCACAGCCTGGTTGTAGCTAAAGGTCTTCAGGTTCCGTTCGCCGACACCCTCGTAGGCGTAGTACTTGAGGTGAGACATCGTGATGGCGTCGGCTTCGGTTCGGCTGTTCTTGTCTTTCTTGTGTCAGAGCGGTATCTGCCGTGGCGTGGTGGTGCGATGGGCTGATCTTTGGAAGACAAAATAAGTCTAATTATCTACTCTGGAATGAAGAAATAGATAGACATGACTTGGAAGGCCGCCCCCTTTATAAACCACTTCCGAGACCCTTTTCAGGGTCGGGAGTGCGTCATGTTCGCCGGAACATATATTCCATGTGCGGGGCTTGGGCGCATGTAGTTTTGAAATCACCGCGCTGAAGACCGTGGAAGAGGAGAGAAATTGCGCAAGCCGATGTTTCTTGCCGCATCGGCTGTCAAACTCACGATGGTCTCACAGGGAAAGACAGGAAACAAATGTTCTCACGATTTGATATCTTGAATGCCTTGCCGTGTCAGACCCGTGCCACGATGGTACGATGTCCCTCCTCTCCCTTGAGTGCCTTTGGCGACTCATGCCAGGCGCAAGTTACGCCACAGCTTAAATCCACGTGCAAAAAAACAGGAACCAACAGGAGAGTCAGAGAAGAATGTGTCGCTCGATCGCTGGCAAACGTCATTTGCCCGCACTCATCGACGACAGGGAGTGCAAGAAACCAACAGAAGGGAGGTATTCCAGACATGAAGAGTAAAAAATGAGAATGACCGTTTCTTCTTGCCCGCTAACGCTCCATACCCAGGGCTGGTTGCGGCCTAAAAAAGGCACTAGGTCGAGTCCGGCAGGACCCTTTCAAAATTCGGCCCCGGCCGAAAAAGCCCAGGCATCGCGATGAACCCCGTCCGGACCTGGCTCCGATGGGAGGACCCTTCCGGCCTTTTGGGCCGGAAATGCCACTCGGGCGCGGAACGTCGACCACTTTGCAATATCGGAAGACGTGGTTCGACCGGCCATCAAGGGCGGCGCCCTGCAGCGCGCACACTCGGCGTGCAAGATGGCGTCTTAGATTCAGCGGCACTGCTACACAAAACCTGCAAGCCTTCCCAATCACCGGCAGGACATCTTGCATGCGCCGCCAAGCACACCTAAATCACCACACACCCCTCAAGCCGAAGCGACGGGATGATCTTCGAAGAGCCATGCCGGCGTACTTCTCCTACTGCCTCCCCGCACCAGAATCAAACAACATGAAGCCACCATCACATGATGATGACAATTCGCATGCGCTCCCGCTACAAATCACGAACATACGCCATGTACATTCGACACAGCATCAGGGTCCTCAAGCCCCTCAACATCCAAACACTCTTCAAACCTCGCCGAGCATCCCCCGCGCCGATGATCAGTCGTGGACAAACCCGACCGGGCCCTCAAACGCCAGCCCGCAAGCCCCCAGCCCAACCTTCCCGCCTCCCGGGGCCCCGATTACAACCGCTTTCTGACAGATCGTCCCCTCCCCTCAACATGTCGTCATCAGCCCTCTTCGCCCCCTGAGCAAATAAGCATCGCACAACAGCAATTCGGTCCGTGGTTCGTCGGCTGTTGGCCCCAAAAAGGCTAATTGACTTTCCCCCGAAAAAGAACCCCGTCGGCGGCGCGTAGACGGGACGCATGTAATCCAGCAGACTTCCCACACTCCTCTGCCCATCGTCATGTATACGGCGCCCAATCTCCAATCACGTCTGATGTCAAGTCGTGTCGCGCCGTCAGCCATCCAAACGACGTCGACGTCGTGCGACCGACGCTCCCTGGTGTACCCCCGTAAGTCTCGTGGAACGGTCGTTAGCGGCAGTCGGTGTCTGTCGTAAAGCTGTGGCTGCAGATGAAGTTTCCTCCTCTCCCGTGCTGATGCCGTCTGGGCAAAACCCGACCGAGCTTGTTGTCCTGTGTTCCCCCATTTCGTGTTCCATCATCCGTGTTCTGTCGGGTGGCTGGTGGTCGGGTCGCGACGTAACTGGTACCCGGGGTGGCGAATGACGTCGTTGCAGCCTTGAGTATCGTAAGCGGTGGATCGTCGCGTGGCGGCGGTAAAATTTCTGACAGCCGTAATGTATTCGTGAACGCCGGCAGACTGGAAATGTGAGATTGAGCATTCGACCCGCTGGACGATCTCGTGTTCTACGTTGCTCTGTACATTGCTGTTGTCGCATGTCTCAGTTGCATGTACCACACCACTCACGGTGTCTGCCACAAAACTTTGGTTGAATTGAAGGTCGACGCCTTCTCCGCCTACAAGCAGGTATATACACAAAAATGCGAACGTAATGTAATAATTCCCAAGGCCCGAAGCCTTTTACCAGTAACCGTGACGCCTAATGCTACCCAATGCCCAGTGTGTCATTTGATGGTGTTGAGAACCCCAATGATGATGATGATCGTTAGTGTACAAGTCGCGAACCGATGCAAGTTTTTGTTATCCACTCCAATACCGTAACCGTGCCGAAGCCGTAGACGAAATGATGAATATAACGCTGTAGGCCAACTCGGCCACAAGGGGTATCATGCCCTCGAATCCTGAGAGCTGTGTCCGATTATGCTGTGTAGCGAGCGCCCCGGGGTAATTTGCCCGGGTAGTGGGATGTCCATGGTTGGCTGAAAAGCCGTGCCGTGTGCTCGGTTGGCCAGGCTGATGGTGACCTCAATCTGATGGTCGAATAAGTGTATCTCGCGTCCCGATCGTTCGTGGATGTGTCAACGCGGACCAGACTATGCTGGGTGTATCATCCTCCTCTTCCGCCGCTGTCTTGCCGACAGCTTATTTCTTGCCCTTGCTTGGTGGCGCGGTGATCTTGCTGGTGGTCATGAGGTCGCCAATGTACTTCTGGAGAAACTTGTTGTTGCTGTCGAGCTTGTCGTGCTCTTCGCGGACGGCTTCGATGCGGTTGAAGATGGTGAGCAAGGACTCTTGGAGTGCCTTCGCGTGTCTGGAGACCGCTGGTTAGCCTTCAGGTCCACAACGTGACGCGTGGTGGTTCAAATCCTTACCTCTTCAACTCTTCCCTCGCCTCTCTGCCCAGAGCCTCAATGTCTTCGCTCGTCCTCCTCGGGCTCATTGCCCTCACGTCGTCCGGTCCAAACTCGGTGTCGATTGGCCCAACAGCTGAGCTATCCCTCGGCACGACTAGCGGTCCACTGCTCTTCCGGCTCGGTAGACGAGGGCGAATTGGGGTAGGCTGGTGGATCTGGGGCTCGTCGTGCTCGTGGTCGACCGATGATGAGGAAGAGCTCGAGTGGGAGCGCTCAATATGAGGAGGCAGGTGCGACTCGCCGTGCTGTTCTTGGTGTTCGTTGTCCATGATGCTGAATTATCGTCGTCGCGATGCTGTGACTTGTTTCGCGGTGCCGATTGTCGGTGAAGATTATCGCGGAATCAGTGGAGGTGGGATTCGGTTGAGTAGGTGTACAGAAAATTGATTGTCTGCAGCAGGAGGAGTGCGAGAGGGCGGCTCAAAAGGCAAATGTGGTTGAATTGAATGGTACTCCGTCACCAGGTCCAAGTTGGGAAACGGGGTCTTGCCACCATGCAAGCAGGGTCAGGGCTTAGTGCAGTGAGCGAACAGTGGCGGAGAGGGGGTAGTCGAGGATGAAGGAAGAAAAAGTCAGGTGGTTGCAAAGGTGCCAGCGGTGATGGTGGTGGTGGTGTATATGGGGCGTGAGGTATTATGGAATGTAGGGGTATTGGTGGTTGTATTCCGGAAGCAAGTAGGGTCCTACCGGTCTCTCAAACAGGGACAGGAGCCGGAGGGCGGGAGAGGTAGGGAAGAAGAGCAGATGAAAAAGAAGACAATCCCAAGAAGACGGGCAAGAGTGGGAGAAAAAAAACGCGCGGTGGGCCGCAAAAGGGTATGAATGGGGGACGAGGTCTCGTGGGTGTGGGTGGGTTTTTGGGTTGGGCAGAGTTGTCGAGGAGTCGCTTTGAATTTTTCCCCTTCCCCTTGTCTTCCTTGTCGCCAGGTGGTGGAATATGGGTCTCTCTTGATGCTCGTGGAGTGCTCGTCAGGTTCGCCTCGCGCCGGGTGGTCTCCTCTGCTAAGTACCCTTCCTACCAAGTAGAGGTGTGCCTAGGTACTGCGCAGTACGAATACTGGTTCGGTTTGCTGGCTTTTGCTTGTTGGCAAACGCTGGCCCTTGATGGGTGGGGGTCTGAAATGGCTATCGGAATTTGAGGAGCGAGAGAAAAGAGAAGAGAGGCCCCAGAGAATAGGTGATCCGAGAGTGGGAATGTCGTGGGAGTAATACGGGATTGCGACCGAGAGTCAAGGCGGTTGCGTCGACGTCGTGTGTGTCGGTAGTGTATGTAGTGTACGTTGAGCGCCTTGTATGTTCGTTCAAGGTACTTTGTACAGCAGACGGGAGTACAATGGAAAAGAATGGGAATAGAAATTGCCAATGGCGAATGGCAGAGAGCAGGAGGAAATGGGCGACAATGGCTGGCTTGGCTGGGTGTGGGTGTGGGTTTGGGTCGACAGTTGACGTCTACAGGCGAGCAAGTGGCCGCGATCTGCGGTACTTGGGGGGGACAAGCGCTGCTCTTGAGTGATGACTGCCCGCTGCTGGGCCTGTGGTGACGATCGGGGTGCTGGAGCCTTCGTGCCCTTCGGCCAATGTCGTAAGTAGGATGAGCGGTATGATGGTCGTTACTGAGAAGAGGGTAGGACGGGGGTGATCCCCAAGGGTTGTCGAAGGCTTGGGAGCCTTGGATTGCTTGGGTTCAGTCAGGGTGGAGGAGGGTGAGGGATGGGCACGACAGGGGTAGCCAAGTAAGTACCCTGCACACGTCCTAGGAAGTAGGGAAGAGACAGGACCAGCGCGCAGGGGATCCGTAACGGGTTGGCGACTGGCTTAAGCGGCGGTGTGGAGCAGGATGATGTTATCGCAACCGTTTTGTTGTATTCGTATCGTCTCTGCAACTCTGTTGTGTTGCGTCTCTCTACACTACTATGGTACGTAGCCAGGTGTTTACTTGGAGAGAGAGCGAGGCTATTTGCAGCTTTGGTTGGTCGGTGCGCCTCAAAGCGGTGGTGGGTGGGCGGACTGCGGATCTTGTGGTAGTGCTGCGGTTGTCTGTCTCCCGGGTACTCGAGCGCGAGAGAGGAGCTGAAGCCGAAGCTCGACGTTGATATTGACGATGGGCAGAAGATATGCTCCAACGGCTGTGCGGTGTGCGATGTTGAGTGGTGCTCCGTTGACCGGTGTGGATGGCGAACGGTGGGTGGGAGTGATGGAGCCGGCTTCTGAACCTGAACCTCAGACCTGAGGAAGTATCGCAACGATTCACAGTGACTTCTGGGTTCCAGTTGTCTGGCTTGTCTTGTGTGACGTGAAATGGAGGTCAAGACGACGATGAGATGCGCGCCTGTTTCCTCTGCGTTTGAGCAACTCGGGTCATTATCGCAGTCAGGTATTCATCGGCGGTGACACACACGGTTGCGATGATGCAGGCGGTACGGAAAGAAGGTCTGCCTTATGCAAGCAGGAGAGATGCCGGGTTTCGGGGGGTCTCGTGGTGTTGTTGATCTGCTGAATCGAGAAAACTGAGAATGCAGCACCCACCCACGATGGTGGTGGTGTCTGTTGCCGCGGTGTGCTGGCGCTAGCCGGTGTCTGCCGGTGTTGTTCTGCTCGCGGGTGCAGGGGAGAGACACACCGACACTGGAATTGAGATTGACGAGGGCTTCAGCTCGATGCCATTCAAACCATGCGTAGACGGCGTGTTTGTGATGTTTGTGCTTGAGACGGACGGATGCTAGCTCTCTCCCCCTCTCCCCCTCTCCCCCACCTGCATGTCTGTGCAGCCACTGCAGCGGTCTTTCCTTTCCTTTGCTGTGTTTTCCTTCCTCTCCCAGCCCCGATTGAACATGGCACTTGTCGTTGTGGAAGGCACGAGTCGGTACGTACCTAGTGCCTGCCTACCTCACTTGTTGAAAGTTAAGACTCGGGCAGTTCCTTCCTCGGCGAGGTTGGCAGCAGGAAGGCACGATGACGGAGGAATCAGGGAAGGTGCTTCCAGGAGGCACCGTACCTCCCCAATGGAAGCTGCTAAAAACAGGGGACTGCTGCTTCCCACCGAGACACCTTCGCGCCTGCCTTTCTTTCTTGCACTCTGACTGGTCTCTTTGTCCTGGATTCCTGGAAGCCATGCAGTATGTAGCGGTACGTGCCTTTTTAGTGGGTCCTTTAATTTGGTGTCCCGGGCCTAATTTGGGACTTGAACCTCAGGCATGTTTTTCTGCCCACATGTCACTCTGCTCTTTCCCCACACATTGTGACGCTGAACAGTGTGAAGCTAAGGTGCTCGCATCTTGACTCGGTACGTGCCTTTTTCCCTTTTTTTTTTCTTCTTTTTTTTTTTCCTCCCCCTCCTCTCCCCTGCCCTTGTGCTTCACCCGCCGCTTGTCCCTCGCCGCCCCCTCTGTCCGCTCATCTCCTCCGCATCCGCCGTCCTTCACCTTGAAACTCACGATACTTCGACCTTTTCCGAATTCTTCTACCTACACTAGTCGACGGCACTAACGTGTGTGACACGGAGTCTTGCCGACACATTGTCTCCATCAACCAGCCATCTGTCACTTCGAGAAGAAGATTTTTATTTCATTTTGCCCTCTCCTCCCTGTGCTCTCTATCAGCTTTGCTTTTGCCTTGACTCCACGGACGTATCCTTCACCGCATTCTAATTTCTAATCGTTTCCCCTCGCGATCGTCACTTTCGGCGTTGTGCGACCGTTGGCGGCACCCCTACTCCTACGGTGTCAGCTCCCTGCAAACTGCTACGGCATGAATGACCTCTGCCATCATGGCAAAAGCAAAGCCTATGGCGGGACAGAAGCAACAATTTTGTTTTTCCTGCGCTGACCTCACCTCCGCCGGCTGCTGACCTGATTTCCACGTGTACAGATACCGCAAGCTCCCCTCTCGTCATCGAGGGACCCCTGAATCTACACACGCACCGCACCGCACCGCAGAGCGAAGATGCACACGCAGTGCAAGGCAGCCAGTACCTTGCCGCAGCGGCACGAGAGACGCAGTACTCCCACTGTACTGTACAATTGTCTTTCACCCTCCACACCTCGGCCGCGGCCAACCAGCTGCAGCAACGGCAACCCTTTGGACTACCCCCTGCCGCCGAAAAATTGGCTGATCAGCGCCTGTGACGCCATACCCTCCACGGTCAAGACTGGGATCCCCCCTTCTCCACCCGCCGCGACGAAGCAGAGCGGGAACTTGGGAAACTTCAGGTGAACTCGGGAACTTGGAGGAATCGCAACCTGCCGCCAAGTCTAGCGCGAGCCTTCTGACTGGCGCGCGCCCTTCTCCGCCGCCCACTCTCCGGCAGACACCAGCCGGTTTGGCGGCCTTGCCGCAAGAGGGGCACATCAAGCACATCAAAAACTACACGCCAACCAAAGGCCCGTCGTGATATTGCCGATTGCCATGTTGCCTTCCATCTTGAATCACCGCCCCTCACTTTCCAACACCGCCAGCCGCTTGTTTCGCCAACCACATCAGGGGCCTTGAGCTACCTCACGCACTTTTTATGGGGGCATGGGGGGTCGCACAGGGTTGCTGTGGGGGTGTCTCTTTGCCCTTTGACCCCTTCATGATCGATCAACCGTCCCGTCCAACCGTTTCTTCCGCTCCTTCTCGTGTTATCGCCAACAAGCCGTCAGATCAGATACGACGGATTCACCTTGGCTAGTCATCATCATATCGTGATCATAAGACGATGCCTCGTCGTCTCTCTCTCTCTCTCTTCATTTCAAGCAGCTCAACCAGCCCTCATCAACCGTCATCATCAACCGTCATCGAATTCGTTTCTCCCGCCGGAGACCGGCGGAGCAGGGCATCCATAGCTGACTTACTCGTGGCGGGGGATTGGGCAGCCACGATGGCTTCGTCGAAACACTGCGGTAGCAACGTCCACAGGCGCCTTAGTCCCTTCCTGTCACATCTCGGGATACCGCCGTCCGCAAATATGACAGGATCCCTATCCCACTGGCTGCGCGCTGAGGTAGCGGTAGGCCCCCAAAACCTTCAGCCGTCACTTGACTGCCCACACCCACCCAAGACCCTCTCGGCCCCGTTCCTACATTAGAACAGCCGCCCGACCCAAGTCATATTCAACGCGACCTTACGGATACACGAATGTCCCTCGCGCACACTACATTAGCTTGGCCAGCGCCACGGGTCCGACTGGGAAGAGAGACGGGGACGGGACAGGGACATGCAAGGCAGCACAAGCACAAGTCAAGGAAAGGCATGCCGGGCAGAAAACCGAAGGCGCCGAAGTGACACGAGG